TTTTCTTTTAATATCAATTTAACGCCGATTGTGCATTGGGTATGTGTTATTATATCTGGTGTCTGAAAATGATGTTATTACCTTACATTTATGATTTATCAATAAACATATGTAACATGAATTGTAGCTCTTAATTCCCATTCGTTTACTACCACTGTATGTTTCATATAAATGACAAAAGAAAAAGCCATCACAATAGATACAACAAAACAAAGGAATTAAACTTTACTCAAATAGAAAATTGATTTATAGTGAGTGAGTGAGGGGACGCAACTGTGCACAGCGAATCGCGGCGCCTTAGATGACTGGGCCACCCGTGCCCCCAAAATTGATTTATATATGACAAGACAGTTTTATTAGCCAGTTCACAAAAGACACTTCACTTCCTTCATTGACGTCGGAGGTTGAAGGAGAGCGCTCGTTCGCCATGAACAAATCCCATTGAGCAAGACACACAAATGTTTATGGAATGTTACAACTAAACAATTCATCTCAAAGAAAGGGATCCTTTTAAGTTTGGTGTTTACTTGGCCCTGGGTATAATATAGGTGCCCGGAATATTAAACCGGAATCCCCACGGGGCACAACAATATTGTGAAACGAGATACATGAGTATCTGTCAAAATGTAGCAGTTGTTTATTTCATTGGAATGCTGTTAACTATTTTCATATTGATGAGATATTAGAAGCCTATGTTTGCGCTTTGATATTTGAAGTGATAGGCCAGTTCCGTATCTTTCAGGTTTATTCGTTGAATTAACATAAACATACATTCGGATATTTCGAATTGTACACATATATATAGCGCCATCCAAACATTCCTAAAATAATAAAATAATTTGGATAGCTCTCCGTCATTTACACCTGAGATTGAATCATTTTCTGTTATAACTCGCCACCCCAGTGCTGATGGCCATGTAATACATGTCCATGTATTTGTACGTAAAAGATCCTTTATTATTTAGTGTTTGGCAGGGTAAGTCGTTGACGCATTGCTGCTCGGAACAATTACCTTGTATTGATAGACTTGCCGAAATCGTTTCGACTTAAGTCATGATTGAATTGATATACTAAACAACATTCAAAGATTAATTAGAAGCACATTAGAGATACACTTTTTTCAACGGTAATTAAGAATATACCCTGGACACAAACAATACCGTGTTAAAACCATTTTCCATTTGATGTTGATGAACATGATTTATGTGGTTTGTGAACAGAAATGAAATGTATCATTTGTACTTTACAGACCCCAGACGATAGGGAACCGGCAATATAAGATACAAACAATATTTGGGCAAGATATAGCGGATTTCGGATTTCGGATTTTCCGATTTCCTACTTAGTAGGTATAGGAGTCACGTGGGTGGGTGTTCAGATAACTATTCTTGCCTAACATCAAATGCTTACGTTTAATTCAAACTCGCTCTGCATTGGCGAATAATCATGACATGGATCGATTTCACTTTGCAGACACATCGATTATTACTCCACCTGTACCCACTGCAAGTATGGCTCCATCAACACTGTGCTTAAGACATATAACTCCCACTTATTGAAGCAATGATGTGTGGTATGATTAAGTATAATGACTTATGCTGCATAGACACAAGCACAGTAGTTATCTATGACATACATTGTGATTGTGGATCCCGTCTGCATCACGTAAACATATCCGCTCATCAGGGACCAGCTTATCCGTGTCAAAACAATTAGATACAATACTATTATTAATGTCGACCTAATTTAAACTGTTCTACCTATTGCGTATCTTTTACCAGGACATGAACACATATTTACTCGTAAACTAACTTTATTTGTTAGAGAAAATAAAATTACATACAATATGTGTAAATATCAATAAGTCATACACAAATATTTACACGAAAACAATCTTTATTTATGAGACATTAAAACTCTTTGTGGGAAGAAATCATGATTTCTGTCTAAAAAACACGAGACCCACCTCCTAACTTTAACTTGTAGGCATGGAAAGAGTTAGTGCACACCTTTGCTTTGTTCCGCCAATGAAACAGGCAAATGTTCGATGTTGCCGCTTGTTTTCCCAAGAAACCACAGGACAAGGGGTCAGTTATATCACAAGGTGATCGGTAGATGGGGTAATGAAGGCCCTCGGGCAACATTCCTAGATTTAGTTAACTGGGACAGATGATGATGCCTGAAGGATGTTGAGAATTTCCTCCAACTAAATGGTACATCTGGCATTGCATCTCCACAACGCTCTGACGAGGACCAGTCTGGTGGCAGATCTCCCGTTCTTCTCCTTCCACTTGGCAAGCATGTATAAGATCTGCATATAAAGTGAGAAAGGGTGTGCAGCTTTGATTTGCTCTATTATAATGAGAGAATGTCCAAGTTCTGCTCCGAGGGCCTCAAACCCGAAACCGATATGTCTTGCCACAAGATTGAGATCTGATCTTGAAACAGGAATCTTTAGTGTTTCCTCGTCAACATCGTATGGCAAGTTGCGGTGTGATGAACCTAGGAAAACATGTTTTCATTAATATGTGATTAACATTAAATGGAATCTTGCATGATCAAATGATTTGAAAAATGCTACATGAGCAGAAAACCTCATTCTGAGTATCTTTCGAAACGGCTACAGTGTAGCTTGCATGAAATGTAATATTACCAACGCAGTGCTTCATCTAACAAGTCGAACCAGAAATATATTATTTATAACGAACCTTGTCTGTCTCTCTCTTGAATGTGGTTAACCGGCTCAGTGTCTATTCTCTGTAATGGAAATGTTAACAGTATTCTAACTGTAAATATGGAATACTAGATGTACAAAATGTACGTTTTGATTGTTCAGTATAAGTGAGTAGGGTTAAAAGGGTTCATGTTAAAGTAGTGAGTGTGTGTTGGTTAACGTTATTACATTTATATCAAGACGTAGGGCACGGGGGCTTCCAGTCGTCTCAGGTGCCGTAATTCGCTGTGCAGAGTTGCGTCCATTGGTTCCTATGGTTCTAGGTTTTGTCAGCGCCGTACCCGTGCTCGTGAGAAACGTTTAAGACTTGCATCATTTCGGGATTTAGTACACGCCGTGATATGACTGGAATACTGATCAAAGTGGTGTTAAAACATTCACGTACTTAAATTAAGCCTTTATCAATACTTGTCAACTTGGTGGTAAGCCTGAAGTTATTACTAATATGCACACGAGCACCACACCCAATTCCAATTTTGCCATTGTGGAATTGACCTAATACTGCTTTGGTTATGTAAATATTACACTGTACCTCAAAACATTAACAGGTAAAGGAAGCAATGGTTATTTAAGAATGCCTTAGACCTACCTGATACCGACATCCAGGCCAACATCGAAGAGTATTTCCCATTTTAAATGTATACACTATGACTGCATCTAATCCTGATATGGAAAATGTTGATCACTTGTAAAGCTGGAATGAGAATCTAACCGCTATAAGTACATGTAGTACGGTGGTGCACAAAGGAGATTCCCCTTCGACGACGGGAAATATCGCTTTGGACGAGAAATAGTGGATTTCGGATCCCGGATACCAGTCTATGATCTTCGATTTGGGGTGAGGGGAGTAAATTGCATGTGTTGTGAAGGTATAAAAAAGAGTTGGATATTGAATGTAATCGTTTTTCATTAAATTGTCTACTACGCAATTTCATGTTTGCGTACATGAATCATTAGTTTGGTTCCTGTCATGTGCATTCAATTCAGTTACTTGTTTTGTTGCTAATCTTAATGATCGGCCGTAGTGTAAGCTTTACTCACGCCAATACCTGTCTTTGAGTACTTAATATGAGTCTGAAGGTCACAGGCCAAGATTGCTACTTTATACGACAACATTTTAAATACTATCACACATATCATCCTGTCCTGAAATGTTGAAATTTCAGAACAAAAAATGTTGAACAAAATGATTTCAGTTACGCAGCTGTAAGCTGTTATGTCATTGACATGTATATTTTTCAACTACAATTTCATGATTGTCCACGCCATCATAAAGCATAATAAACTCGTTTTATAATATATTGGATATAACTAGATTGTCACATTTAAGGCTATGATATATTATTTCTTCACATAATACATTTGTTGGTTATATTTATCTTCCTATGCTTCATTTTTTGCAATATTTGCAAACATCACCTGTCGTCAAAGGATTCTTTAAAAAAGTAAACATATAAATCTATTTTGTTTTGGTTAGAAAATATCCTATTGTATAAAAATCAAAACGAGTTGCACTTTATTTTGCCTTTTTACCACAGTGCCTGTGACTAATTTCCTCCATTTGAACTGCTCATACAAATACCCACATGCAAAGATATACTTTAATAGTCAATAATTATTCATAAATTACACATAACCATGAAAATAAGAAAGTATTCATAAGCAAAACTGTAAGTTGTATTCCGGGTTTGTTCAGCGTTACTATGTCATACATTGCTCCTTTTAACAACTATGTCGGACGACGACGCAATAACACTGCCACCGGAGCACATCGCAAGACAGTTTAAATCAACACAAGTAGGGCAGATAGTAGTGCTCTTATTAACTGTTTCTTAAATACAAGCGATACGTAAAAAGTTCTCTGGTGTTTTTCCCACTTCTGGTCGCTGCACACGTTTGGACAACGTACAGCGGACTTCGGATTTCGGAGTTTCAGATACAAGGCAATGATACGGGGATATCATAGGTGTTAAGTCCATGAAAATAATGAAACGTTTTACATAAACATGTCTATCTGTATAACAGGGGTTCATGAATCTGAAGCTATACTCGGTTGCCTGACGTCAAATGTCTCCTTGTTTGTTCAAAGCGTTCTGCTTTGGGATATGATAATGACATGGATGTGTATAATGTATACTGTGAACAGGGCGTTACAGCAGAGCGGTATTCATTGAATGTACCCGTATTACAGGCAGCCAACCGTCATGTCGTATATAAAGCGCCACGTCACTACACATAGGACAGTCCTAGTTTCTCTTTCCTTATGCGTTGTACAGAAAGGATGTGAGGACAAAGTCACACGGCTGACATTGCGTAGACAGAGCTATGGATAGAGAGGACAGAGAGGTGATAGCTCCGTACTTCACGGGGAAGAACAAGGCACTGAAGCTGACTGAAGTGTTGGAAATACTGGAGAACCCTGATGACACAAGGGCTTTAGTAACACCCCCTGCTAAACCCCATGGAGGAGACGGGTACTTGTACAGGGTGGAGGCAGACTCGGCGGAAGGTAGGTTGCATGTCTTGAAGTTTAAACATAAATAAAAATGCATAATCTGATGAGTATTAATAAAGGGAGGATTAATAATGAAATAAGACAGTATTAATGAAACACTAAATGTGATTATTTGTATTATTTATTGTAATGTGACATGTTGTGGGATGTGGTGTGATTGGGTCGTATGGGTGGGTACTGGGAGCAAGTAGCAGGTGTCAAATAGTCAAAGGAGCCAAAGACCCGTGAAGATCCGGGGAAGAATTTATAGGTCTTCAGCAACACCTGTTTGCCGTAAAAGGCGACAATACTTGTAGTAAGAGGCGACTAACAGGATCGGGTGGTCAGGCTCACTGACTTGGTTGATGCATGTCGTCAATCCCAATTCCGTGTATCGAGGCTCATGATATCAATCACTGGATTGTCTGGTCCAGACTCGATTATTTACAGACCGCCGTCATACAGCTGGTCTATTACTTGGTTCGGCGTTAAACAACAAACAAACAAAAAACAAAAAAACGGAGTGGCATTTGGAAGGAGGGTAGTCATTGTTTCTATAATAGTCCTGGGCTCGAATCTCAGATTTGTCTTTTATGTGATTCTAGGCTTGTAAACGTCGATGACCTATGAAGATCTACGCAATTTTACGCCACCACTCCACTTTACCAAATGTTACTTTACTCATGCTTTAGCCTTCACAATGTAGAGATGAATAGCGACCTACTAGACCCACTTATCCCAATGAAAAATACAAATGTAGTTGACTAAACGTTCACATACTAGTATGCTGTGATCGCGATCGTGATATCAGTTAAATACAACCCGCTATTGACACAGTCAGCACGTAACATAGGAATGACGACTTATCTCTCGCACTTGTGGCCATGAGCCGGATCTTGCAAGGGAATATACGTACTCGTGTTACCTGTAATGAAAAAACGTTGCCGACTGCAACTCGTACATAGCACCCCGATCTGAGGCCATGCAACGCACTACCAAGCTCTTTGTATTGATTCAGGTTGCAGATCAATGCACGTAGCTAGGCAGTGATAATGAAACCATTGTACGCTCAATAGCATTGGCAGTTTATCTTTCCAAACAACTAAATTATTGCACTTAAAGAACATACGAGGAAGTTGATTGTCAATGTGTTGATTGTTTGGGCCGATGGCAAATATTCACTAAGAAAGTTTGCTGGCATGTGCGGTACTGATCAGGTAGCAGATGTATTGTAAATCCCTTGTACATAATATTGTGGCAACATTATTTAACATTTTGTGACATTTGTTACATTGTCTCATATTTACAAGTTTCAATTTATTCATAAATTAGAACGTGTTCTTGTCATCTTTGGTCTGAAGAAAGCCACCTTGAATTTAAATGTAAACTTTTGTGTCGACTTAGAACCTTTTAAATTTGGATTTAGACTGTTTGCCGTGAACAACGTGACATCCAGATTCGTCATTAGTAGACACTGTCTATAACCTTCACATTGTGTCCTTAATATTATTTCGTTATTGATCATTCTGTTTGATGGTGGACGTGGATGTAGGCTTGATTCTATGTTTATATTAAATTATGTTCATTGCAGCAGATACCAACTATAAACCAGAAAACATTGAATCAACTAACGCGAATTTTAGGGGGAAAACATGATCGAATCTGTATGTATATTATATGAATTATTTTTATTGCAGCAGATCCCAAATATATAACCCAAATATATATCCCAAATATATAACCGTAACTAACACCTAACCGACCGAAATGACGTCTTGTAATCATTAAGTTATTGACATTTGTAATTCATTTCGTCTTGCTCTACAGACTCCTGGAAAAATGACAACTACTACTTCAAGCATAATGGTTCTCGTGAACAGCCTAAACCTGCACCCAAGGTTCTCAAGCAGTACTTCGTGGCTTATAAAAGTGATGGCAGCACCACCAAGGCTTTTAAACGACAGGCATACAACTTGCTCGAGGGAGACGTGAACTATATGTTAGTACACTACATTGGGAAATGCACAGTAGCATTATCCGATCCAAAATATGAGAAGCGTTTGAATACATCCCTCCACCATGAATCCCAGATAGTGAACAGTAACGCGAGAATAGCTGGTTCTGGAGATGAAGATGGTGGAGATTGGGAGACCAGGGATATGGAATGTGATCATGATCGTGCAAATACTAACTCTCCTACTTTCCTGGCTTCCTTAGATGAAGTTAGCTCAAGGAAAAGGACACATGACCCTGATATGGTAAATCGTGTGAAAACTCCTAAACGTTCAGAAAACGAACGAGTAATAGAAAACAATTTGATGGACATAACCACCGAATGTGTTAGTCATCAACATGATGAAAGAGCGACCAACCTCAAGTCACTCACCGAATATTTGCTGAACAAACGTACTCATATCGTTATCGCAAGACGTGTGTTGAAGCAGACAAAATACTGGGAGAAAAGCACCAGCTTTTCTACCTTTGACAGTCCATGTTTATCATTAATCGCTGACGTCGAATGTAAATGGAGAAATGACCTTACAGAAGTTAGTGGCAGGTTGAATTGGTCACGACTTAGCCCGGATGTTCTCGGCGAAGACCAGTGCAAGGATACGTATCACAGACTGGTATCTGCTGTCATAGTAGGTGCATATCACATGAAGACGGACATCACAGAGTTTGTTGACACCCTCTATATGTACCCATCACATGTGATGGGTGACAACGCCATAACAGATGACGACGATGGGACGGATCCTCAGATGTGCAAGGTGGGGCCCCACAACATACAGAGGAATCATCTCCTCGATCAAACAGCATGGCTTGGCGATGAGGTAATTTTTACGATTTCGTAGCTTATATTTTGCTCTTTATGTATTATATAATTTAATTCTGAAAATCCTTTCTAAAAGTTTAACATTACTTGGACAAATCAAAGGTACAAAATCGACCAGGACAACCTTCCTTCTCGGTCGTGGTCGGTCAAATGTCAAATAATGATATCAGGAATAACATTATTAAAGATGAAAATTGTACAAGATTGATAGATGATAAAAAACCATTTGTTCGAATAGTTGAAATTGCTCACAGGCCAAGTGGCATTAACTCGCTCAATCGTTATTTGAGCAGTTCAGACAGGATATATGTTGCCATATAATTGCTGGTTGTAACATGTGACAAAGGGGTTTCGCATACAGTAAACTACGGTTATAACGAACTCAAAGGGATTGCTAATTTTAGTTCGTCATAACGGTAGTTCGTTGTAAGCATATCTACAGCATAACTACAGCAAATAGTCGGGACCAAAAAAGTAAGTTCGTTATATCCGTCAGTTCGTTATAAGCATGTTCGTTATAACCGTAGTTTAACCTCCATTGCAGGTGATGAATGCATACATGCATGTCCTGAAGACCACGTAGAATAGGAACCACAGCCTCCACTGCGCTGTACTTGATTCCTTCTTTGTCAACCATTGGGAGAAAGACGAGTATGACGTGCACCCCTGCAAGGTATGGATGAGCATATTCATGTACATTGTATAAAGGGATGAGTAAAGTACTGGTATTAGGTTTTCGTCCAAAGATGGAAATTAAAGAGACATTTGAAGATCTTCGATTCGGTTATGGATCCTTGTTTAGCATCTACTTTAGGCTCTGAGAGATACGAGGTCAGTTTTGTAGACAGTTCATCGAAGGTCTAGAGCAGCAGTTTTCCTTTTTCAAGAATATCCTCACTGGACACATGTCAACATGCCATGTACAGTAAACTACGGTTGTAACGAGGTTTAATCCAAATCAGAGGAAAGTAATCGTATTGATATGCTAATATCAGTAAACTTGGTCAAATGGAAATGAAATTATTGTAAATTATAACACAGTAGTCTGTAGATAGACATACGTCTATGTGGTTAAAGAGCATCAAATGCATCTTGCTTGATCAGGGTAAAACATTCAAGACCATATTATTTTCCTTTTCATCAAAACCTTTACTGTAAATTAAAGCGACATAACCCTTTCCACGTTCTAGCTTGTCCCCATCTCAGTGGAGCTCCTTTTTTAAATATAAATGTATGTGCTTCTTTCCTTTTTTGGAGACTAGGCATTAGTCTGAAAAGCATTAACATGGTTGTTTTGCATCAGTGACAAACCCGATGCAATTCCATGTTTTGACTTGTACAATAATTATGTCCCTGTGTTTCTCGGGCGACCGGTTGACTTGTCTTTGCATGTGTTTGTGACGGGTGCCACCGGTGGACAGATTACGGTCACCTTTTGCGAACTGGTATTGTCACTATTTGCCAGTGATTTATTAGCACATGCTCGTGATGTAGTCGGTATCATTCAAGGTGTTTGTTTTAATTATGGCAATGATTTTGCGGATTTATTTTATATTAGGAGGAACTTGGAACTTACACGTGGATCCTGATGCCAGTGAACATGCCACTGAATCAACACTGGGTGCTTCTGGTCGCCAATGTCCAGGATGGAACAGTGGGCGTGGTCAACTCTAAGCCTGTCCTTGATGTAGGGGACAAACTTATACAACATTGGAGGTAATTTGAGGGCCTGGCCAGCTATATGTAGAGATAAACCTTTATTATCCAAAACTGATATCGCTTGGGTGAGATCAAGTGATATATATACTGTAGATATTGCTGCAACATAACTGCATCACACTGTTTTGCAGACCATAGTGACGTCATTGTTACCATGACGTCACAAATGACATCACTAATTACTGCTACTGAAGCTGTTAGCAATACATTTTACACTGAAACAGCTGGCAGAATGATGTTGATGATAAATTAAATCTCACCCTTGTGTCTTTTGATGTAAAATATATCAACACTCGGTGATATTTGACTCTAAAGACACTTGGTTAAGATTTTCTATGAACAACACTGTAAGTAGTTGGGTCGAACAGGTGATGTGGTCAACTCACAGCCTACAATTGATGAAGACTACTGTGCTGATCAGATTTGAGGTACACACTGATGAATGTCTGCTGCCGATTTTGAAACAAAACCTGCAATTTGCCTCAGCTACAAACGTGTAGTTAAGTCCCAAATGTATAGCGCTAGGTTGTAGGTGGGTTTGAGGCAGCGGAAACAAATAGAGGTCGTTAACTAAATCCTATATCTATTTCAGAAAATATACACGCAGTTTGAGGAGAGGTGATGGGTCAGTGGTCACATGGACAAAGACAGAATATCCAGTACTGAGTCAAAGAGATGGACATAGCTGTGGCGTGTTTGTGAATATGGTACGTAAACTAGATGAGAACAAGATATATAAATCTTTTATAATTGTATAATATCAAAAATAAGAGCAATACGCAAGAAAATATGATGAATTGCTACTATTTATTATACAGTCTACCTTTCTCCACATTTACTCTATTTTCACCAAATCTTCTGAAATTCCACCCATCATGGGAACTATATTACAAATGGCATTCGCATGAGCATGCTCTTGGGTACTTGCCATTCAAAAGTGTCATGATCAAAACTGAATATTTCTAGTAGTATCTTAACATACCATATCAGTATTAATATACTGATCCGTTTCTACGATATGTGTTTACTTATATTTCCATAGTTCTAACAAGTTTTGGGATACAGTACGTTTGTATTATGAGGTCACTGATATACGAATACCAACGTCATTGAACATAATATAGGATGACGTTACAAACAAGAAACGTGACGCCAATGACGTCACATAGAAGTCCGTTGTTAGGGATAAGCGGACTGCTATCAAGTTACAGTTGACAGCAGATTCCTGTTAACATACGGGCAGTTTTATTATAATTCTAACTACTTTAGCAATTATGCTTGTTTAAACGTTAACATTTAGTGCATTATTTATTCCATTGTTAACGTTTGTGTTTACATTAGAGGGTTGTATCGGAAACACGCCCCGACCAATATTTTTCTCCTTACCTAATATGACACCGTATACTGCCACTAAAGACACCTTCGGGGTCAAACACTGAAGAACAGTGCTTTGTTGTTTTTTGTCAATTGTTCGTCACCAGTGGCTCTATATTGTTACAGGCAGCAGAAGCTGTACTATCGGAGGTGCCTCCCAGTGTCATGAGAAGCTGCCACACTGTCTGGTACAGGAAGTACATCTGGCGCAGGTTGCGAGAATATGCTGGTGAACATATACCGCCTGATACTGACACACATAGTGAGTATAAATATTGTTTTCCAAATATACCTCAAAACCCAAATACATACTAAAGACAAAACCCATTCCATATTCATAAAAAAAAAATACTGGTAAAATCAGTTGACTATATCATGCGCATGTGTTTATGAATCACTATCAAATAGTGTGTTCACGACAAGGTGAGCATATCCTGCCAATAGCAATATATACCACAACAAAACAAGAATGTCCAAACCCATGTATCACTGGGCGTACTTCTTATGTCAGCAAACCTTATTATTCGTTTCCAGCTAAATCTAGCATTGTCGTACAACTTTTCTGTACTGTAAGACGCAAGCTGTTAGGGACAATTCATAAAGCGGTTTTATTGAAGAATGTTCATAGTTGTTTGACGCCGCCCTAAGCAGTGTCCCAGCTCTATGACGGTGGTCTGTAAATAACTGGACAAGACGATCCAGTTACAGTATTAATATCATGAGCAATTGGGATACGATGACATGCATCAACCAAGTCAGCGAGCCTGACCACCCGATCCCGCCGCCTCTTACGACAAGCAGAGTCGCCTCTTACGACAAGCAGAGTCGCCTTTTACGGCAAGCATGAGTTGCTAATATTTGTTACATGTGTTGTGCAAAGACTGAATACCAAACATGTTGGTGGTTAGGTTTTAAGTAATTCAATACAACTACTGATATAAAAATATATTAGACAAATTGCTTTAAAATGCTTAGAGACATTAACGTGAGTTATTAGATTGGCATATTGTGGATTGAATCCGCTGCTGGCTTGTTTCCAGCTATTGGAAAATCCTAAAAACGAATAGCAAATAATTCGCCGGTCGGTCATCACCACAACGTGGGTTCTCGGGATCAGTTCTGGTGCTGCTGACTTCACAGGCCTTCGAGGACGGGGGTCGTCTTCAAGGCACTCCCTGTTACACTCAAACTCTGCTGCCTAACTCGTTATGTTGGCAAAGAAGGGCCATACTTCCCCAGTGCTGTATTCATATCTTCATGGATGGCTTTTGGTTTTGTTAGATAAATCCTTTTTTTCTGCAATTCCACTTGACTGCACGTTCCTAAAATTTGTCCATATTCCAAAGGCCACAGCGCTCTGCCTGTTTGAATAACAGCAACACAATTTGCATCGTGTAATGTGCACAACATAGTTTTTTACTTTTGGACAATTCCTTCTATCAGAGGCTCAGATATCAGGCAACCACCGTTGCCGACACATTGCTGACAGAATATTGTCATTCACTCACTCATTCACTTATTATTCACATGCTATTAATGATGAAGTAACGACTGGCATTATTTCCATTGTTGAAGTGAAATATAAAAGCAGGTACATCATACATGTTACAGGTTTTATAAAAAAAATTTGTGTGTATTATTTCTTGTTATTCAAGTACGAGTGACGCCTGGCGAACTAGGAAGTGTCCGGACCTCAATATTCGAAATGGGCAAAAACTTAATATTGATACTGCAATTAGAGGATATGTAACCAATCACGATTTGACAAAAATAACATAATGTAGAGGAGTTGGGTGTGGGTAATGATAAAGGGAGACAACTATCAAAATATACTGAACGACAAAAGTCCCTGTGACATTGAATAAGACTTAATGCAAAGTAATGTTTTTTACAAAATCTGAAACAATTTCGGTTTGGAACAGATAAAAGACATACTGACTTCAGAAAATGCGTGATTTCATAAAAAACAACAACATGTCAACTTACAAATCAATAGCGTGTGTGTCCGCCTCTGGTTGCGATGCAAGCAACACATCTTCGTCTCATGGAATGGACCAGGCGTCGTCGCACAAAGTCCTGTGGGATATCTGTCCATAAATGCTGGAGCATGTTTCGAAGTTCCTGGAGTGTCTGTGGAACACGTGGTTGACGTCAAAGGCGCCGATCCATCTCATCCCACATGTGCTCGTTGGTGAGAGATCAGGGGAGCGAGCCGGCCATGGGATGACATTCACGTTGTTTTGTTGAAGAGAATCCTAAACAAGTCGAGCAATATGAGGCCGGGCGTTGTCATGTTGAAAGGTAATGCCTTGGCCATGACGACACAAAAACGGTAGAACAGGGCCGATGATCTCGTCGCGGTAGCGCTGTCCATTGAGATTTCCCTCCACCACTATCAAACGGGGGCTCCTCAGTCTAGCTGTTATCCCACCCAATGCCATAACGCTGCCGCCCCCGAACCGATCTTCTTTCATGACACAATGATTGACGTAACGTTCACCTCGACGTCGTCACACTCGAATCCGTCCATCGCTGTGGCTGAGGTGAAAACGACTCGTCAGTGAATAGAACTTGTCCCCACTGCATGGCTGTCAAGCGTAGACGCTGTCTGCACCACTGTAGACGTGCTTGACGGTGGTTTCCTGTCAAAATGGGACGTCTGGTGGGTCTTCTGGCAACAATTCCTGAACATCTGAGGCGGAGACGTACGGTTTGTGAAGATATTCGTCGAAGGCCAGGGATGCTTCTTGCAGTCACTCTTGCTGGGTGGAATCAATTTCGTACATGTAGGTGTGTTGTTCGAATCCAGTTGTGTCGATTATTTTCGCGTCTGTTGTCAACGTTGCCATAAACACCAAATGGTATTTCTGTGGACGTTAAATTGTCTTGCAACATCACGTTGACTCGATCCTGCTTCAAGCATACCAATGGCTCGCAGACGCTCATTTTCGCACAGGCATGGCATTTCGTAATGTTGAATAATTGCGTAATTTTGTTGTTTTTCTGAGTGGTTGTCGTCAGCACGATGCTAAACAATGCATAATGTATTACTATATTGAAAACCAAACTTTACTTGTTTTAAAAATACACTATAATATTGGTGTCACAGGAACTTTTGTTGTTCAGTATATGTTATTAAATTACGTGTTTTGACTTGAACCATATGTTACCATGTTTTGCAGATGACCAATTGCCTTTGCATGTGTTTGTGACGTGTGTCACCAGCAGGACAGGATATGTTTGCCTTTTCGTGAAAACCTGATATCACTATTTGCTAAAAACATACTCATTATCGGCCATAGAGGATCATAAAATATATGTGATATTTATATGTTGGCAAATGGTGTTTATTGTGGTTGATACATAGATTTACAAAGAAAACAGCATGTACAAAAGCCAAAATCTCTTTAATGTCTATTGATGTAGTAAACATTGTAAGCGTTAAAATATATAATGATTAAAAGTGTGTTTATTTCAAATATATTGCTAAATGATGAATTAACCTGTTTGGTTCTGTATTTGAAATATCGTTGTCCTTCTTGCAGTGCTTGAGTCTCAATGTGAAAAGCTGACAAATAATCCAGCGTCAACGAATGCCAGAGCGTTTTCGTATACAATAGTCAATACGTCGACCAGCATAGATGATACGAGATACAGTTTGCATAAAGCAGCCAGCCTCGGTGATATTAGACGCATGCACTTGTTGATAGACCAGGGGGAGCCTGTAGCAGGTACCGATGACCGAGTATGGACGCCTTTGCACTGTGCCTGTGAAAACGGTCACGTTGAAGCTGTCTCTGATCTGGTTTCCAGGAGGACGGACGACGTACAAAATAGAGCTCAACTTACATTGTACAATCCTGTCTTGGGAACGGAGTATATGTATCTAGCAGGAGCATATCCACTCCACATTGCTTGTTTAAATGGACATGAGAATGTAGCGCACATTTTGATCAATAGCGAGGCAAATGTTGACGACAAAAGTGAAAATGGAACAACAGCTCTTTTTCTTGCTTCTATTAACGGACATGAATCTGTAGCCGCACTTCTGATCAAGAATGGTGCAAGTGTTACAGTTGAGGACGAAGACGGATGGACAGCACTATATGTAGCTTGTCAGAATGGACATGAATCTGTAGCCGCACTTCTGATCAAGAGTGGCGCTAGTGTTACAGCTGAGGACGAGGACGGACAGACGGCACTACATCTAGCTTGTCGGGATGGGCATGAATCTGTAGCCGCACTTCTGATCAAGAGTGGCGCTAGTGTTACAGCTGTTAATAAGAACGGACAGACGGCACTACATCATGCTTGTCAGGATGGGCATGAATCTGTAGCCGCACTTCTGATCAAGAATGGTGCAAGTGTTACAGTTGAGGACGAGGACGGGTGGACGGCACTATATGTAGCTTGTCAGGATGGACATGAATCTGTAGCCGTACTTCTGATCAAGAATGGTGCCAGTGTTACAGCGGAGGACAAGCACGGATGGAAGGTACTACATCTAGCTTGTCAGAATGGACATGAATCTGTAGCCGCACTTCTGATCAAGAATGGTGCAAGTGTTACAGCTGAACACAAAGGCGGATGTACGGCATTACATCTAGCTTGTCAGAATGGACATGAATCTGTAGCCGCACTTCTGATCAAGAATGGTGCCAGTGTTACAGCGGAGGACAAGCACGGATGGACAGCACTATATGTAGCTTGTCAGAATGGACATGAATCTGTAGCCGTACTTTTGATCAAGAATGGTGCAAGTGTTACATTTGAGGAGGAGGACGGATGGACGGCACTACATCTAGCTTGTCAGGATGGACATGAATCTGTAGCCGCACTTCTGATCCAGAATGGTGCAAGTGTTACAGTTGAGGGCGAAGACGGATGGACGGCACTACATCTAGCTTGTCAGAATGGACATGAATCTGTAGCCGCACTTCTGATCAAGAGTGACGCAAGTGTTACAGCTGTTAATAAGAACGGACAGACGGCACTACATCAAGCTTGTCAGAATGGACATGAATCTGTAGCCGCACTTCTGATCAAGAATGGTGCAAGTGTTACAGTTGAGGACGAAGACGGATGGACAGCACTATATGTAGCTTGTAAGAATGGACATGAATCTGTAGCCGCACTTCTGATCCAGAATGGTGCAAGTGTTACAGTTGAGGACGAAGACGGATGGACAGCACTATATGTAGCTTGTCAGAATGGACATGAATCTGTAGCCGCACTTCTGATCAAGAATGGTGCAAGTGTTACAGCTGAGGAGAAGGACGGATGGACGGCACTACATCAAGCTTGTCAGAATGGACATGAATCTGTAGCCGCACTTCTGATCAAGAATGGTGCAAGTGTTACAGTTGAGGACGAAGACGGATGGACAGCACTATATGTAGCTTGTCAGAATGGACATGAATCTGTAGCCGCACTTCTGATCAAGAGTGGCGCTAGTGTTACAGCTGGGGACGAGGACGGATGGACGGCACTACATCTAGCTTGTCAGATTGGGCATGAATCTGTAGCCGCACTTCTGGTCAAGAGTGGTGCAAGTGTTACAGCTGAACACAAAGACGGAAGGACGGCATTACATCAAGCTTGTCAGAATGGACATGAATCTGTAGCCGCACTTCTGATCAAGAATGGTGCAAGTGTTACAGCTGAGGAAAAGGACGGATTGACGGCACTACATCTAGCTTGTCAGAATGGGCATGAATCTGTAGCCGCACTTCTGGTCAAGAATGGTGCAAGTATTACAGCTGAGGACAAGGACGGATGGACGGCACTATATGTAGCTTGTCATAATGGACACGAATCTGTAGTCGCACTTCTGGTCAAGAATGGCGCTAGTGTTACAGCTGAGGACGAGGACGGATGGACGGCACTACATCTAGCTTGTCAGAATGGGCATGGATCTGTAGCCGCACTTCTGGTCAAGAATGGTGCAAGTATTACAGCTGAGGACAAGGACGGATGGAATAAAGAGTAAATAATAGCTAACTTTAGTACTACTATTACAGTCTGAAGTACGTGTAACAGATGTGGCGTCTCCTTGGGCAAGTGACTTTGTTCGAATTGTCCCTTTTTCCACCCAGTAGTGAGCGGGTACCCGGTAGGATGAGATGGCAATGTGGTTGTTAACCTTCTAGCGCCTAACAGGCAGCTTTGTTTGTATACTCTCCATTGAGCTGAGAATGATTTTTAGGTGAACACTTTTTCCAATGTCTAAGCTTAGAGTATGCTTGTGCATGGAGAACAGCGCCATACAAATAACGTGGATTTTATGTCCGCTTTCGGGTTTGATTTTTATTTGTTGCAAGGTCACAGGAGTTGCCTACCATGTCAGTTTTCGCAACTGTCCTTGTTTCATGGACAGAGGTTCATATAAACCATGAAACGTTTACTCAAATACATGTCTAATTTGTATTACTGTCCAATGATATTTAAAATGCTTTGAATAATAAAAAGAAATATTCAGAGAATGTTATTGGTGCCTTTCAGCTAAATTACAAAATGTTATTGAGTTACTTGTGTCTAATACCTGAACATGACCTACTTTCAGTTATGTTATCAATGTCAAATATTGAGTTATAGATTCAGTGCCCAAGGGACGCAACTCTGCACAGCGAATCGCGGCGCATCCGTGCCCCCCGAGTTATAGATTCATGATTGAAATCATTCTTATGGCACCCAATAATTGCTTTTATCCTATGAGTCATAACTGGTTTTGTAAAACTCACAAACCAAGTGCATACCTTTAGAAAATCAATACCATGTTGAACATTTATTCTTTTTTGGATTTTTTAAATAAAACTTTAAATGTTTATACGATTCTGTTAAATCATTTCATCTTCTGGGGAGAAGAGGTGGCCTAGTGGTTAAAGCGTCCGTTCGTTCTGGGAGCTCGATTCCCCACATTGGTACATTGTGTGAAACTCAAGGCTGGAATACTAATAATAAGATTGTGTTCTTTAATCTGATTGGTTGAAAAACATGATTTACATCAGTTTGTCTGACTGATAACTGAACTTACTTAAATTAAATTTAAAATGATTAAGTTACCAAGACTAGAACACGCGTACGCCAGCCGACAAAATATCCGGCCCGTGTAGAGAATTAGAATTAGGTCTTCAGCAAACAATGCCTGCTCATAGAGTCGCAAGCTCCGACGTTCATACAGTTTGGCCCTCACTCTATGAAGGTTCATACTCCAATGAACTCACACAAAGTGAAGGTCAATTCTTATTTGAATGCATTGCATTTCATTTCCAAAATATGAACCACATAGTGACCAATAATTACATCCATCATTAAAAAAGGGAAGCCAAATTCTTGGGAATAAGTTTTAAAGACCATCTTAATTTCTAGCCATATGTTAAATATCTTAGCAAATGGCTGAAGGAACTGGATTTATCAGGTCGGGGAAAACCCCATACTGGTGACCATGAACCCAACTGGTGACCATGAACCCAACTGGTGACCATGAACCCAACTGGTGACAATGAACCCAACTGTTGACAATGAACCCAACTGGTGACCATGAACCCAACTGGTAGAATAAACTGGGCCTGTGTGGCTACAAAAACATGCGGTTTTTTGTCCGTGAGTTGTCTGTACTACTTGGCGCATAATGGTGGGTATAAAATACATTATGAAAACTTCTTTTATTCGTCGATTCTTATAACATTACCCCGTTTGTTGCGCAGGTTATTGTGAACCCGAGTACCTCTTCGCCATTTGGACGGTTCAGTCGCGTTACGCCGACTTTCAGAAAAGATTATTCGCGTTACGCGGTTTTTCTTTGATGTGTGCGTGTTATGTTAACACACGAGGTTGTTACAAGCCCGCAATGAATGGTGTTTTTGGATGGTGTTCACGACACATTCTAACAGTAGAAACAACAGATTTATGATGCATTTTGTGTCGTTTATTCCACACATTATATAGTATCAAAAGCAGCGACATGACAAATTTCAATTTGGTACATCGAACAGAACATGATTTACATGAATTATAACATTTTTTTTAACTTTAGAATGGCTGATGAAACATCGGCAGAGTGGATGATGTCGATTTCTTGCCTCTCCAGCCTGTGCGGTCGACTTCTGAGTATTTCTTCTTCTTGGGAGGTCTCTTCTGTTCTGCTTCGTACTGCGCTCTGAATGTCCGATGACTTCTGCTCTTTGGAAAGGAAGGTAATCATCTCGAAAATGTTGGGATGTGCCTTTCACGTGATCTTCAGTCGACTGTGCCATCCCTCCAGGTAGTTGTTTGTGCGTGGTCCATCATTGTTGAAGTGGTTCCACTGATTGATGTGGAGAACGCTCTCGATCCACTTGCTGTCATGTAGTCTGCAAGTCTTTGACATCTTTGATCGTCTGGAACGCGCTCCATTAGGTCAAGGAAGTAGTCTTCAACCTTAAGATAATAAAGTAAACCTGTCAGTTTTACACATTAACATGCATATTGAATATATTACACATTAACATGTATATTACGTATATCAAGTTAATAGAATCTAATGTAACGGTCTGGTTACTACTTACATTGCCAACAGGAATGAGTGGCATTATTGCACACTGCTTGACGAACTTTGTAATCTCTGGTCTGTCAGTGTAGTCTTTCTGCATGTTGCACTGTTGGGTCTTCCGCCATACACACTGGGCAAAGTGGAAGAAGCATCCCTTCCATGTGGCACGAGGAAACCGCGATGTGGCAGCATTCCTGGAAGCGACTTCGAAGTCCATCTGATAAAAAAAATTGAAATTTATTATGATTTCTAAAGTTAAAATCACACGAGCTCATCCCATCGTTCTTTTAATCCTCAGTTAACAACCAAACTGCAACTATTCGCGTTTTGCCGACCTTAATTTTGACCCCAAATGTCTAAAGGTCGGCGTAACGCGAAGACACCATTTGGACACATTCTGTGCTTTAAATCAGTCAAAAACAATACAAATCTGGCCTTCGGGTCAGTGGTGAATGGACAAATTTTGAAATAGTTTGCGCTGCATTGCTAAAAGTGGCAATATGTGTAGGCAATTCATAGTCTTTGTGCTATATCATAATGTTTTTACGGACACTTAACTGTTGAATATACATGTGTATGTATTACCAATAAATTTCGTTGTTATTTATGGAAAGAAGTGTAAAATATTGTTATGTTGGTAAGATTTGTTTCAGGATGTTAAAGTTACAAAACCCACAAAGAGGAATCAATGGCAGAACTCGCACCCCCCCCCCCCCCCCCCCCCCCAAAAAAAAAAAAAGAAGAAAGACAATGTTGGTAATGTCCAGCATACAACCCTTTTTTCGGATCCTGTAAAGATTATAGACCTTAACGAAGGCCCTCCTCCTCCTCCTCCTCCTCCATATTATGGTCAATTTTCGTAAGGAAGTGGATCACATCGGTACTCTGTAAATGAAGGTTCTATATAATGATTTGATTTCATGGGTTTTCAAAGGGCATATATCATAGTACATTACTACAAATATTGAATTTGAAAAAAATATTTTACTGAATATTGCCACATTTTAATATGTCTGTATAACCCTTAAAACAAACCGGAATGCATTTAAGTTTCTCCTGAATGATTTCCACCAATTGTGTTATTGTCATTTTGGTGGGCTTTTCTGACTCTTTGCGATCTTCTAGCGTAATGAAGAGTTTCTTCAATGTGGGTCTTCTACCCTTTTCTAGAAGATTCTTCTTAATAATTAATTCTCTGAAATAATTTCTGAAATAAATGTAACTATTTTCCTTATAAAAAAAATAAATCTGGGTGTGCGTGCGTGTGTGCGTGCGTGCGTGCGTGTGTCAGAGTCAGAGTCAGAGAGAGAGAATGGCGTCGTGCCATTGCAATACATCTGGGTCTAACACGTGATTTTGTCCAGGCCTGTCAGGTGGGGTGTGTACGGGCTTGCCTCTAAATGCTTGCTTTTTCTAAGCCAAGATCTCCACCCTGCTATCTCCGGCGACAGGGAATTGTCAGTAGCTCATCACGAACTGGCATCAGTATGTTGGTTTTCATCTGTTATACAAAATTATTGATTATAGAAGCCTACTTGGAGATCAGAGGATCTGATGCAAGTGAAGCCCATCAGATGGCCACACCGGGGTATCAATGAGTCTCAAAGGTATTTCACATGTTGTGATATACTATAAATTTTACAAACTTTTACAATCAATTTAAAACACATTATGTAGGTTTAATGAACCGCAAATATGCATATATTAATGTTTTCATTTTCTTCCAGCTTAACAAACGCGTTCCAATTAACAATGAAACGATTCATTTAATGAAACCCACACATCTTTCGCAAACTCAGGCTGCACCAATTTCAACAACCTCTCATGTTAGTACCCAAACTTCTCCTGAACCACTTCCAACACTGTATGGTCAACTTCAAACCACCAAACATCTACTTCTATCCCTTACGCCGAGTCAAGAACTCCAACGGTTGAAACCACAACTGACATCACAAAAAGGTCCAACAAAAGACCTAAACAAAAACAAAGCAGTCATAACCAAACTATTTGTCCTATTTGTGACAGTTTATATGGGTGCCTTGTGGACAATAATGCCAAGTGGATTGGTTGTGACTAAAAGAAAACCCTTTGCAATTATTGGGTGCATTGTGAATGCATCGGGATTTACGTGAGGAAAGTGGCTGAAATACAAAACATCACCTATCTATGCCCAGAGCATAACAAAATTGAAAGGTGTAAATAAAATGAAGATTATTAAGATGATTTTGGTTATTTTTGTCCCAAAAAAGTTTTTTTGTGCATAATACTTGTTTTTATATTAAAAACATCCATTAGAATCGGATTCGAACTCATATTCCCTTCACCCGCAGTCAGCGACGTTACCAAATGAGCTAAACTGCACATGTGAATGAAGCAGAATTAAAAGTACATACTTAAACTTACTTAAAACATTATTTAACTTTACAGACGTAGGTGATTTTAAAACATTCCACAGATTTTTGCGTACAATTTAAGTGATTGGTTTATGGCCCTATGTAGTTTTATCTGACATCACGTCGAAAGCGTGTTGCGGATCAAGGAAATACGCTTAAAATAAATCAAGTTAAAATCTAAATATATACTTTTTCAAAAGAAGTTAAGAAGACTATGGTTAATTAGTCAAGGCTGATTGTATTGCAAACTACAATCTTATAAATGTGGGTGTTCTATAACTTGTTTTCGGTAGTGTATGATGTTACAGTATGTCATACTAATGTCTGTAAATATTCATTTTGACATTTGCTGTATGATCAATTTGAATTGTGTCTCTTGTTTTATGCACATCTACAAGTATATGTACTTGCATATAGTAATTTGATAAACACCGCTGTGAGTGAGTGAGAATGGTTTCACGTCGCTTTTAACAATAATCCAGCAATATCTCGTCGGGGAACGCCAGAAATGGGCTTCACACATTGTACCCATGTGGGGAATCGAACTGGGGCTTCGGCGTGGCGAGCGAACGCTTTAACCACTACGCTATCCCACTGCCCCCTATCGCTGTGGCGTTATCACAGTTGATATGTGTACATGTGTAAACTACACATATGGAGAGACATCCTAATTAGTGTGGCCACAGAGTTAACGTTGATAACAATATGAAGTGCATTACTATGATTATCTATAACATATGTTAAATCAACTACCATTGTAATATTTTATGTAAATATATTAAGTTTAGTTTTGTCATAATTATATATATGTGTGTGTGTGTGTGTGTTTGTGTGTGTGCCTGACTCATTGTCTGTGTATATA